ATAAACGAGAACACTCGTTGTCTGGATGAAATATTCCAGAACGTTCGAATGTTGAGTTTGGAGAAACGAAAACGCTCGTTTGTGTCGAAAATTCGCCAACGCTCAAATTATTCGGATAGAAAAACGAGAACACTCGTTGTTTTATTTTCGTCTTGTTTTATTTATTTTTTTATGTATAATAAAAATATTAATGTAGTATTTATTAAATACATGGAAATCTAAAATGTATTATATTAAAATTATGTAATTTGACACACAGACAAAGCTTTTTCTATCATTATTTACAGTTTCTTTTTTTTTAATTTACCTAAACATATGATTCTTGCCTTTGTCTTTATTTCCAGCATTTGGACAATTAATATTTTACAATATCTCGGCATTTTTTAAGAAATTGTCTTAAAATATATTTATTTAAAATAGTGCTTTTAATCTTCTAGTAAATATAATTCTTTTGACATTTTTGAAAAAATTGAATATACACTTAAGAACCAATCATAGAGAGGCTGATCATATGACTGTTTTGTCATCTCTTTCTTATACTTGAGATTCCTATACTGCGCATCCATTTCGCGCAGGCATCACTTGTACATAAGGGAAAAAATAGGAGTAGTTAGCAGTCTAGTGTAATATAGAAGTTTGTGGTGACGAACCACCGCGCGCGTTTCGGTCGGTTAGTGTCAGTGTACTTCGGCAGATTTCGGGCGGCTCGGCTGGTGTTCGTCGCGGCGCGCACTTATTAACGGAACGTCAAAACGCTCCATTACAATAATATTTAAATTTCTAAACATTATAAGTTAACTTTTTAACAATTTTGTAACAATAAAATTTCTGTTAATTTTAATTAACTGTTTATTAGTAATTAATTAGTAATTGTTTATTATAATAAAATATAATTATAACAACATAATCATCAAAAAATATATATCTAATTCCTTCAATCGTGTACTTAATTTTTAACTCCAAGCTCATAACAAATAAACAATAAATTGTAAAACTTTTAAAGATTAACCTTATAATTTTGGAAGTAAATGTATATTTCTAATCCTACCATTTTACTGTATACAAGGAGTGGGGTATTTAAAAAGTTATAAATTGATATCTTTCAAAATACGCTTTATAATACAAAAAATGTTTCAGACTAACGTTATATGGTTTCGAGGAAACATAAGATTGTACCATTGGTTTGACATTGGGAGAATGTGACAAGAAATGACGAGGGTACAAAATTAAAAATTTTATATTTCAATGGTATAAATTACTGTGCGTCAAATAAAAGTAATATAGTCAATAAAAATAGTATTGTTCAATTCTGCTAAAAAGGAAGAATACTTTACTCTTGACGCCATCAAGCGTTAGGAATGGTTGCGAAAGGAAGAGCAAGGGTACAAACTTTATTTCGTTGGTACAAATTATTGCGCATCGAATAAGATAAGTTATCGTTTGATTCTGCTGAAAAAGAAGAATATCTTACTTTTAAACTAACAGAGATTGGAGGTGGCTTCCGAAAAAACGGCAATACAAAATCTGAAATTTTATATTTTAGTAATACATATCATAGGACTTCGAATATAGTAGTAGAGATTGTTTCTGCTTGTGGCGAAAGACACTTTATTCTTACCGCTGGTAAACTTGAATTAAATTGGGGATTATTTCGATAGGAATGGACCGACAGGAATATTTTAACTTTTTCTGTGTAACACAAATTCAGCATTTTGCATTCCCATACTCGTTTTCTTTTCTTTCTTTTCTTTGATGTAATCCTGCTAACTTAATATTAAGCTAGTAACGCCACGTTTTTTTCCGTATAGGACAAAATACAAAAGTACCATTAGTAATACAAATTAGTACAAAATAGATACTGAATAGGTCCGGTTTGATTTTGCTGATTTAATCCTACTAGCTTGATAGAAATTCTAAAAAAAAGTCAATTTAATAAATGTTTTAAAATGGAACTTCCTGTGCGTACGTGCGTGCGTGCGTGCGTGCGTGCGTGCGTGCGTGCGTGCGTGCGTGCGTGCGTGCGTGCGTGCGTGCGTGCGTGCGTGCGTGCGTTGCGTGCGTGCGTGTGTGTGTGTGTG